GGTGACTGGGCTGTGCTGGTTGTTGTGGATCTGCACCCCAAAGCAGCTTTGGGAGGGATCAGTTTCCTTCAGGGCTTTTTTCTGGGCAAAATTGAGGCAGATGAAGAAGAAAACAGAAGCAGAGCCTGGTTCTTCCCCCCAAAAAAACATGATTAATACTGGGGGGAGTCTGTGGTGGCAAGGGAAGCAAAGAGGGGGCTGCTGCCTGGGGAAATGGGGTGCTTAGGGGGGTAGAGAAGCTGCTCCACTCCAGGAACAAGGAGCTCACAGCCCAAAATTGGGAATATTTAGGGCTGGAATCACCTTCCCCTCCCCCCAAAGCCAGGCCTTGGCCCTGCTGAGCTGCTCCAACCAGGAGATTTCCACCTGCAGAGCCTGGTGGCAAAACCCCACTTACTCACCTGTCGTACAAAGGGATCTCCTGTCTTCCAAAAGGAATTAAATCTTGTGGAGAAATAAATACAAACGTGTTGGGGTTGGTTTTTTTTTATCCCCTCTGTGGACAATTGTGGCAGAATAAGATAGTGGGGTGAGGTGTGGCCGGAAAACCTTTCTCTCCATGGGCTGCATCTTGTCACCCAAGGTAAACAGGCAGCTTAATGAAATTTCAAGAGGGAAAAGGTGAGATATTTGCCTTTATGTTCATTCCCCTTCCTAGCAGGGACAATATTTGAAGAGCAACAAAAGATCAGCATCACATACGGTGAACAAACACAGCCCAGATCCTGGATTAATCAAATGACTTCAAGAAAGAACCCAACGTCGGGGCTTTGGCAGAGCAGGGGAGCAGAAAACCTGGGTCCCCTGGGGCACCCCAACATGGGTGGCACCCCCAGGGATGTGCCCATCACTGTCCCATTTGCCCCCCCGACATCCCACGGGTGCTCCTTCCACCCTGTGGGTGTTGCTGGTGAATTCCCACCCCTTCCTTCTGTCTCCCTGGTGCAGATCCCAAGGGAGAAGAGCAGGTGGGAAGTTTGCCAGGGTTGTTTTTTTATTATGATTCCCCCCCCCCCAGGGAATTTCTTGGCTGCTCAAGAAGTGACCAAGTGAAGACCCAACCACCCTGCAGGTCCTCACTGCAGGTTTGAGGAGCTGCAATGATCCCCCAGGTCAATCAGAAGATGAAGAAGAAGGTAAAAAAAGAAAAACCCAAAAACCCCACAACCCTTCAGAAGTTCTTCACACAATAATCTGCTCAGGTTCCAAAGGAGCCATCAGTGTCCATTAGAAATGGGGATGTTTTCCCAGGACATAACACCACCCATCCCAGAGGGATGGGGACATCTCAGTGCCACTTGCCCATGGGTGGCACCTCCAGCAGCTCATTCCTCCTCCTGAGGAGCCTCCCTGAAAGTCTGGAGGAGATGGAGCAGCCAGGACAACGTCCTTGGGCTTTGCTGGCTCCAGCATTTCCCACTGCTCCTCCCCACGGATGTGTCCCCTCCAGCTCAGCTCCAAGAATTCCCCATTTCCCACTTCACAGCCACCAAAAAGCCAAGCAGGTGCCAGAGGTTTAAAGCAGACAGGAGGGAGAAGAGAGATCCATCAACCTGGTCTTTTGCAGGGGTCCTTCAGCCTTTCTGGGCATCCCAACCTGCCTCTCCATCCAAGGAAAACCATCCCCTTCCCTCCATATTCAGCCTGATTTTCCATTCTTACTCACAGCACCAGGAGGACGTGGCACAAAAGCAGCAGGTGATGAAGTCAGACAACATTCAGGCCAAGCAAAACTGGAGATAACCTAAGAAAAATAGCTCTCACTCACCAGGAAGAGCAGCCTGAAGTCCTTGGGTTGTCAGGGCCAAAGGGCTGCAGCCACATCTCCCCCTTGGGCAGGTTAGGAAGCTTCTCCCAGAGCATCTTGCAAGGGCACATGGTCTCTCTCCATGGGTTTGTAGTGGGTTTTTGGGTGTTTTGCCTTTGTTTCTGTACATTTAATTCAGAGCCTTGAGTAGTTCAGAGGTAAAAATGCCTCAGTCGCCCTGGGTTTAACAGAGGAGATGGATGGGCAGGAATAGGTGTTACCAGTTCACTTGTGGAATTTGTGTCCCCTGGAACCACCAACAGTCCCTCCTGTAACAGGCAAGTATTGGGGGCATTTCATAGAGCCATGGGCTTGTTTGGAAGGGAGCTGAAAGCTCATCTAGATCCAACCCCCTGCAGGGGCAGGGACGCCTCCCAGCAGCCCAGGCTGCTCCAAGCCCCATCCAACCTGCCCTTCAGCACCCCCAGGGATGGGGCAGCCACAGCTTCCCTGGGCAACCTGGGCCAGGCTCTCACCACCCTCACACCAAAGAATTCCCTCCTCAGCTCCAACCTCCATCTCCCTCTCCCACTTTTCATCCATCCCCCTCATCCCATCCCTCCCTGCCCTTGTGCCAAGTCCCTCCCCAGCTTTCCTGGAGCCCCTTCAGGCACTGGAAGCTGCTCTAAGGTCTCCCTGGAGCCTTCTCTTCTCCAGGCTCAACACCCCAACTCTCCCAGCCTGGCTCCAGAGCAGAGCTGCTCCAGCCCTCCCAGCATCTCCATGACTCCTCTGGACTCTCTCCAGGAGCTCCACGTCCTTCTGATGTTCTTATGTCCAGAACTGGACACAGTTACTACAGATGGGTCTCATGAGAGCAGAGTAAAGGGGACAATCCCCCTCCCTGGCCTTGCTGGCCAAGCTGCTGGTGACACAGCCCAGGACAGGGTTGGTTTCTGGGCTCCAGAACACACTGCTGGCTCATGCTGAGCTTCTCATCACCCATCAGCCCCAAATCCTTCTCCTCAGGGTTGTTTTCAATCCATTCTCAACCCAGCCTGGACTTGTGCTTGGGGTTGCCCTGACCCAGGTGCAGAACTTTGCACTTGTTGAGCCTTTGATTTCCCATCTTCTGCTTCCTTTGACCCATGGGGACAAAGGACCTGATGGCCCAGGAGATGAGGGCTGCACGTAACTCACCACATCAGCTGCTCCTCCAAAGATGGCCAAAGAATTAAGAGGGTGAGGAGGAGCTGGGAGGTGACCACAATAAAGAGAAACTTGGGGTCCTCACCAGCCTTCATTAAAAAAACAAACCCAGTATTGAGTGTTTCAGAGGGATGTTCCACCTCTCACCTCTACACACCCCAGGGGGAAGGAGGGGATTAAATTATTTGCTCTAGGAAGCAAACAGAAATAGAAACCTGTCAAAACCATCTTGCTGAGCATAAATAGCACTTTTATCTTTTGATCTTGTCTCTCAGGCCCATCAACAGCCTCTTCTCCACCCCAGGGCCTGGAACCTCCTGGGTTTGTTACATGAAAGATAAATAAGAGACAAGGAAAAAAGAGAAAGGATGGAAGAGCTGGGCAAGGGGAAGTCCTTTTTCCTTTGGGGTGGAAGATGCTGCTCCCAGCCCAGACCCCCCATCCCTCCCCAGGGAGCTGCTAAACCCTTTATTAGTAATTTATTATTGATCATTATTATTCCCACTGGAAGGCTGGGGCAGAGCTGCTCCCTGCCTGTATCCCCCCCAAAAAAGTCCATTTTCAGGATTTTTAGGTGCATCTTCTCATTGCTGCTCTGGGAAGAGGCTGAAACCAGGTCCTCCTGTCTCCCTGGGATCAGCATCTCCTCCAAAAAAATCCCTACACAAAACTGTCTCCTCCTTCCGAATTTGGGCTGCTCCCCAAAATAATCTTGCAGCTCTCCAAGATTTTTTAAGGCTGGAGATTTACACCCAGGAATTGCAGGGTGGTTTTAAGCTTGGAGAGCTGAAAGGTTGGGTTTAAATACCCTGGGGTTTGTGCTAGGACCACCTGGGTTTCTTCATGGAAAGGAGATGAAAAAATCCCAGCTCCTCCTGCCAGGGTTGGGAACATAAGTAAGGGAGGGTGGACTTGGGAGCAAAATTTAGCCCCCCCAAAAACCAAAACGACCCCAGGGAGAGGGGAGGAATTCCTTCTGCTTCTGCACATCCAAGGGTTGGCAAAGCCTGTGGCTCCTGAACTTCTTCTGGGGTCTTCAAATGGTGCAGCAAATTGGCTGGAAACCTCAGCACAAGCAGCTCCCCCTGGGCCTGGGGGAAGAAATCCCAGCCTGGGGAATTTGCTTTGCTAATTTGCAAGCCCCAAGCTGTGGCTTTGCTTTGTTATCTCCAGAGGCAAATCCTGGGCAAGAGGTTTGTGTTTCCAAACCCTCCAGCGGCTCCTAGAGGAGTGTGAGGCCAGGACACAGACATCAGCTCCTGCCAGGCTGCAAAACCCCTCCCAGGAGGCTGGTTTTTGTGAGCAGGAAGGGCTTTCCCTGCCTCACAACCTGCCAAGTGTTGAGGCAACACTAGAAGGCACCATCTCTCCAAAGATCCAGCCTGGGTGCCCAGCTACACAGCTAAGGAAAACCACAAACATGAGCTTAAAAAGGACCCCAAAAACCCCCAAATCAATCAGAATACTTTATTTCCTTAAGCTCCAGTGATACAACTGTAGCAGCATTTCACAAACCAACTCCTGCAGTGTTAAAGATACACGGGAGGAAACATGAAATTCCAAGGCAGGCCAAAAAAAAAATATATATCATATATATTTAAAAATAGGAATTGCAAAAGTTTACTCATCCTCCCCCTTAAATTCTATGTGCGTTTGGTGCAGACAAAGCAGCAGGAAATGTTTCACATCCCAGGTTAAGTTCCAGCTTCCAACTGCAAAGCCAGAAGAGACAAGGAGCTTTGGTGAAGGGGCTTCCACCTGGGGACCCAGCACCATCCCCAGCAGGGAACCTGTAAAACACAGGAGATCCCTGCAATCATTCCACCAACTGGGCACGTTCCCAGTTGCAGAATGGGAGTTCTGGTTTGATCAGACAGCTGGGGGAAATCCAGAAGGCAGGAATATTAAAGCTAAGGGAGCAGAGGAAGAGGGTGACACACTGGGGACCACTTCCCAAGCTGGCCAGGTCACACTGGCAGCTGTCACCTCCCACCACCTGCTACAGTTTCCCCTCTTCTTTTAATATTAAAGTGACCCAATATTTTCATCTGTTTGTGCCCACCTCTGATGGGAAGATTTTGTGCAGTTCTGGTTCCTGGAGGTGACTCTCCAGTTTCTCCAGTCAAGCCAAAGCCACCCATGGCTCCAAGACCTCCAGCCCTGAGGGTCTCCATGTGCAGGGGGAGTTCAAGGGCTTTTTTTTTTCCTCCAGCTGCACCACCCAGAGAGAGGCCTCAAGCTCACAACTTTTGACACTTGGAGACACATTTGACACAGTGATTCATTCAGTTGAAGTGATAACAAAAAGGCATCAAGAAGCACAATTCCACCACCTCCAGTGGTGCAAGGTTAAGGTTCAAGAAGGCACATGCGGCACCCCCAGAGGTGCTCTTGGATTTCCCTTCTCCAAGGAAGGGAGGAAAAGGATTAGAGCTCTGCTTGGTGGCACCACAGGGACATTGCCAGCCATGGCAGTCACCCCCTCCAGTGCCAACAAGCCCATCTCCACAAGCTGGACAAGCTCCAGGGAGGATGGAGATGAACCAACTGGTGTCCTGGAACTTCTATGAACAGATCCAGGCCCCTCATTAGCTACTGATCACCCAAGTACCTGGCTAAAGGATGCATTTTGCTTTGGAAGAGCCATTCCCAAGAGGAAGCCTTGCTCTGCCAGCCCCCTCCAGGCCACCAGAAAGCTCAGCAGCTAAACCAAACCCATGGCACCAGGAGCTTCTCCAGGTTGGGGTTTGGTTTGTTCTCCTCCCCACCAGGGATGAGCAGATTATTGTCCAACATGTGGCTTTGGTGCTGCAGAGAAGTTCCCCAGGGTCTTCACTGCTGGGTTGGTGCTGCCTGGATGGGACCTTGGTGACTCCATAGATGAGCTGTAAACAGAAGCTCCAGGTCCCACCCTGGGGACACAGGAGCTGCCACCCCACCTGATGGGCATGGTCACTCCTGCAAGGAGCAGAGCTTCAGTGAAAAAGAAAACAGGAATAAATTAAGGGAGGATGAGGGCTGTTCAGCTATCACACACCATAAAAATGTACCTTTAAAAAAAAAAACCAAAGTGTTTGCAAACCCCAAAATACTAGTCTTTAAAAATCTACATTTTTGTTTTAAAAATCTCCTTGTAAAACAAAAAAATGGATCATTTCTCCCCCCAAAAAAGCAACCTGGGTGCCCTCCTTGGTGTCCTACAGTCTCCCAAAGTGGTGTCCCCATTCCTTGTCCTCCACCTCAAGGGGCTCCTGAGTACCTGGACACCCCCAGGAGAACCCAGGCCAAAATTTGGGGGCTAAATGCTAATAATTCAAGCCAACCTGGCTATAAAAATAAATGCTTTTTGTGTCTTCCTTACACAGGATGGAAAAATTTAGCCCTTTTTCAACAGCTCAGCATCTAGCTGTCATAGTACTTAAAAAACAAACCAAATGCCTATATAGAAAAATAAAGGATAAACATTATCCATCTATTTTATATTTATATTAAAAAAGTAACTTCTGTGACTGGATCTTTTGTTTCTTTGCTGTAAAAAAAAAAACCAACCCCAGCTTAGGCTGTTTAACCTAAGCCTTGGGGAGGAGTAAACTACATCTTCCACCTTATCCAGAGAAAAATATCAGTTTAGCAATTTCACTTCTCCAAAATAAAGTTATTAAATATATTATTATGAGTCTTTTTATAAACTATGTCACTGTTTAAGCAAGGGAAGGGGGCAGGGGGTGAGTGAGGAGCACTTGAATCCCTCCTTCCCTAGGGAGGGACGTCAGCTGTGAGTCCACCAGAAACTTGGGGTGTTCCTGGAGCTGCCACGTGGCCAGAGGGGGACACAGGAGGCTTGTGGTCACCCTCTCCAAGTCCTTCACAAAGATGTTCTTTTTTCCAGCTTGTGCTTGGTGAGGAAGTACTTGAAGAACTCATAGACCGACCAGGCGATGGCTGTTGAGGGCATCTGGTAGATGACACGTGCTTGCACCCCCCTGAAATAGCCTGACACCCCCCCAAGCTGATAGACAGTCTTGAAGGCATTCACCATGCCCGAGAGGTGCCCACTGATGTTCACTGAGCTCAAGGCCATGTTCTCCTGGGTGTTGAGGAGGGTCTTGCAGACGTCCAGGGGGGTGGTGGCAGCAGCGGCCACGGCCCCCGCGACGGCGCCGGACACGACGTGGGAACGGGGGTTGTAGTCCCGGTGTGGGTTGATCTGCTCCTGCATGAACTCGTAGGTGATGAAGTGGATGGCCTGGAAGGGGATGTTCATGGTGAGCTGGGTGGTGTAGCTGCGGTAGAAGGCACCAAACCCCTCTGTCCTCTGCACTGTCCTGATGCAGGCCAGGACCGACTTGTAGGGCGAGTTGAACATCTGCATCCGCTGCTTCACCACTGGGCCAGGCAGGACAGACATGGGGAGAGAACCACTTAGTAAGCCAAGACAGAGGGGTCTTGGGCATCACAACACCCAGAGCAAACCATGCTCCAAGTCCCAACCATCCAGACCCTACCCAAACTGCTGTGACACAAAACCAGGCCCTACTGCAGAGGTGAGCTCCTTATGGGCAGGCTTTCACCAGCAGGTTGTCCAAGTCCTCTGCTGCTCCCAAAAAACTCTACAGCACCAGAGATGGAAGCAGAGCAGCCCTGGTTCACCAGCTCTGCATGGGCACACTCTTTTCTCCAAGCTTAGTTAGGGAACTATTATCACAGAATCATAGAATGGGTTGGAAAGGACCTTAAAGCTCATCCAGTCCCACCCCCCTGCATGGGCAGGGACACCTCCCACCAGCCCAGGCTGCTCCAAGCCCCATCCAACCTGCCCTTCAACACCCCCAGGGATGGGGCAGCCACAGCTTCCCTGGGCAACCTGGGCCAGGCTCTCACCACCCTCACACCAAAGAATTCCCTCCTCAGCTCCAACCTCCAGCTCCCTCTTCCAGTTTTCATCCATCCCCCTCCTCCCATCCCTCCCTGCCCTTGTCCCAAGTCCCTCCCCAGCTTTCCTGGAGTCCCCTCAGGCACTGGAAGGTGCTCTAAGGTCTCCTTGGAGCCTGTTGCAGTTAGAAAGACAAGAACCCTCAGATGTTGGGTGCAGACACTTACACACCAGGGCAGAAAGGTCATTAAATAACTCTCCATCAGTTATATGTTGCACTGGGAAGTGCAACAGCCCCACCTACTGAAACAGAACGATTTCCATTGACTTAAGCAAAAGGTCAATTAATTGAACTCATTTCATCAGGACATGATTAAAAGGCTCTGAGACACTTTTTCCCCCTTCAGAAAAACTTGCCTTCAGGCCAAGTCAGAAGCATAGGACATTAAGCCAGCGCAGCTGGTTCTCCAGCTGATCATCTTCATTTTAGCTGCACTTCACTCTTAGGTTTTATTCCATGCCAAACTTGACCTACCCAGGAAGGCCACACCAGGGCTGCTGCACTTGTCTAACACCACAACTGAGCCCTGTTTTCTTTGAGGAGCCCAAAGCTTCAGAAAAACCACCTCCTCAGAAAAAAAAGGAATGGCATCATGTTAGGAAAGGTGATACCAGCTTTCCTGGGAAGTCACAACCAGGCACATGCTCTGCAAGCCTTTGGCAAGCACAGGAGAAGAACCAGGTAGAGTTTCTCCCTTCACACTGGCCTGTCTGAGGGTAATAAATGCTGGGCAGAGTCACTAAAGCAAAGGGTGGAAGCAGAGGGTGCAGCACCTCCCAACAGCCCCGGGCGTTACCTTCGGCAGGATTCATCACGGCATCATGAAGCAGTGTGGCCACACTCCCAGCTATACCTGCAAGACACAAAAGCATTCTTTAAAATAGAAGAAATCAGGAGGACAGAGAGGTTTTTTGGGGCACTGCCATGGAAGAGGCAGCACCCAATGCTTCAGCAGCCCACCCAGCACCCACATACTCCTGCCTGGGGACCCTGGTCCAGTTCCACAGCAAGTCCAGGGAAGCACCCAACAACATGGCTCATGGCCAGGGGAGGGAAAAACCCATCCTTGGGAGAAACAAAGATCTGCTTCCCAGGAGCACAGCCCTCACCTCCCTACACCACCTCACAAGGTTCTGTCTGTGCAGAACCAGTGGCTTCCCTCAGCCTGCACCACAGTTAGAACTAGTTCAGCGCATCCCTAATTAAACATTTGCATCCCTTTACTCAGTCTAGTTTTAAACACTAATTGCACAGACTGCCCAACCAGCCAGCCATTAACCATTCTGCAGTTGGCTCAAGGATGGGCCTCTTGAGCCACACCTTCTCCTTTGATGTAGGTTTCCACCTCCAACTCCCTCCTGCCCAAATGACTTTTGGGTCATGTCTCACAAAGGCGGCGCTTCGGTTTCCCACGGGCACTCAGAGCCTGTAGCTACTTGAAAGGCCACCCCAGAAAGCACAAAACTAGCCAAAAAGCAGCAAGGCAGAAAGGTCTTCCATACCCTCAGCTGAACTGGTTGAGTCAAGTGACTGCCAGATCCCTGCTGTGACAGTCACTTGACTCAACCAACTCAGCTGAGGGTATAGAAGACCTTTCTGATGTCCAGGACCAGGCACAAATGTCTTCTACACACCCCCTGGACCTAAAAGCCTTCCTGGTAGAGGAGCAAATTCTTTGCCAAAGCCTGTGAGCACACAGAGGACACACTGTCTCCTTCTCCAAGGGAGACATGTGGAACACCCTGTACTTCAGCCCTCAAAAGGTTGAGGTGATGCCTTCAACCAAACCAGAGCCATAAAGCCCCAAGCAGCCTGAATCTCAACACCCCCTTGTCCACTGCATTGATCCCTTCTGCCAGAAACTCAAGAGCAAAGCAGAAATGTAGATCAGACTCAGGCTTTGGAAGCTGCTCCAACTGTGCCACCAGGGTGCCAACCCAAGAAGGGTTTATTTGTCCTGTTGCCAACCAGCCCAACCCTCTGGAAGAGAGAGGCCACCAAGTAGACAGGGCAGAGGTTTCAGAGGAGCAAGGTGACCAGCATGAAGCCCTCAATGCAAGGGTAAGTGCCACACCTGCCTGACCTCCCCTTGCTTCTCCAGCACTCCCAAAGCAGGTTAAGATCTGCAAACCTACATCTTCACCTTGCCTCCCCCTCCCATGTGGATATTTACAGGAGCAGGCTGGATGCAGGCAGCTCTTCCAGAAGCAGGACATGCCAGGCTCAGTGTGAAGCAAGGAAGGGACAAGCTGTGACCTGCAAGCTTTTCATTTTTGTGGGAAAAAAAAACCACAACAAAAAAACCCCCACACCCCAAAATACCATTGGCCAAGTGGCTGTTTCCTCCCTGCTGGAGAGTATCACTTAGAGACTTTTTCATTTTCTCATAGCAGGCAAAGTACATGGCATGGGCAGGGCCAGCCCCCAGCATGGTGACATTAATCCCACGTAAAGGCCTCCAGAAACCCTCTGTGAGGACAATCTTCTTCAGAGCTTCGTACACACTCCTGTACTGGGCCTTGGGGTCCGGCTGCAAGCTCTGCATCCTTGTCTGCAACAAAGGAGAGGCCTCAGTTACTTGTCTTTCATCCCACAAGCACGAGTCAAAGAGCTACAACACCTCCAAGATTCATTAGAGAGGTCAATAGAGCCCCTGGTTGCACCCACACCAGGGCACTAATTCTCCAGGCTTCATCTGCCAGGCCTGGGAGGTTACAGCCAGGTTCCCAAAGAAACAGCAAAAGGATCTGAGGGTGCTCAGCTGAGGGAAGTGTAACCTCTGCTCCTGTTTCTGCATGGAAAGAGCAGGGCATGCAGCTAATGGAGCTGCTCAAAAGGCTTGGTGAAGAAACACACTTAGGTCTTTAATTGCCTCGTGCTTGCAACACTCCCAGCTCTGCCCCAGCTTGTCCCTCCTGTAGTTGCTGGGCTGCTCGTGGCCCTTGGGGTGCTGGGTTAATCTCTCCATTGGGAAACATGTTTCCTAGAAGGGTAAGTTGAGAAACAGGGTGAGACAGGGAAGGGCCACCCCACTCTCCTGTACAGCCACCCAAGGAAGACCCAGCACAAGATCATGTCTGTCCTTGGGGAGCACCCAGCCCCGGGGGCCTGCAGCCACCCACTGCCTCAGGCAGGTGGTTTCACCTGCATCTTCAGCCTGGAGGAGAGAAGGCTCAGGGGAGACCTCACAGTGGCCTTCAGTATCTGAAGGGGCTCCAGGAAAGCTGAGGAGGGACTTGGGACAAGGGCAGGGAGGGAGAGGACAAGGGGGGATGGATGAAAACTGGAAGAGGGAGATGGAGGTTGGAGATGAGGAGGGAATTCTTTGGTGTGAGGGTGGTGAGAGCCTGGCCCAGGTTGCCCAGGGAAGCTGTGGCTGCCCCATCCCTGGGGGTGTTGAAGGGCAGGTTGGATGGGGCTTGGAGCAGCCTGGGCTGGTGGGAGGTGTCCCTGCCCATGCAGGGGGTGGGATCTGGATGAGCTTCCAGGTCCCTTCCCACACAACCCATTCCATGATCTTTGTTTAGAAGTCCTCAACAGGCTTTTCTACCACCGATCTCTGAAGGCAGCCCAACTTCTGGCATCCAAAGCATCCTATTCAGCTTGCTGACATCACTTCATTACTTGTCAGGAGGGGCTGGATTTCATGATGCCACAGAGAAACTCCACATGAATCTGCAGGACCCACCACTGCTGAGCTGGCCCCATCCAGCTGGGAGCTCTTTTTTACTCTCTGCTAGTTTGAACTTGAAGGCAGTTCTGCTTCAGCCTCCAGCCCTGACCCTAGGACATCTGGATCTTACCCCAGGCTATCCATGGGATGCCTTGGGAACAGCAGGTAGGATTTAAGCAGGCAGCAGCAGCATCTCCTCAGTTGTGTGGGGCCCACCAAGTGGTGCTGTACTGAGGAACTACCCCAAGTATCTGCACCCTTCCTGAGGATCCAGTTTTCACACCAGAACGGATTAACAGCAATTTATGTTTTTCTCTGGATCATCTGAGCCACTCCAGGGGGTTCAGAAGCTCACAGCAGGCAGCATGTGCTGTACCCACCTAAGCCAGGTTTGCAACCCCACCAGCATGGCCACAGGCTTCTCCACCTCCTGAGGTCTGTGGACACAAACTGGACAAACAGCCCAGAGCATCCCAACCCAGGAGCTCTCCCCATGTGGCTGCAGCAAGAGGCAGGGCACTGAAAACAGGTTCAGCTTCACTTCAGCCAGGATCAGTTTATCGTGGTGTGAAGGACGATGATTCGCTGCGAGCTGTGCAGTCCTTCCCCCCTGCCAGCTCCTGCCACATTATCTGCAGCCAGCAAGCTCCCCAGGAGCCTCACCCCTCTTCAACCAGCCAAGAAATACTTCTCCACCTACTTAAATTAATCCTTATTGCATAAGGCAGGAGTGCACAGAGAACCACAAGCAGGTAGCCCTGGTTTTAGCTTGAGCAGAAGAAGCCATACCAGGTGTCACAGCTCGAGGTTCCTCAGGTTATTTGCTGTTTACCAGAACCTTTTGGGTGCTTTTTGGGGCAGGGGAGCACCCAGCCTGCCTGCTGCCAGGAGCACAGCAACCCCCAAGGTCCTTCTCTATCTAGAAGTGTTTTAATTAACAAAAACAGGTCTCCAGTTTTGGCATGTTCTGGACAAGGGTCACCGATTGGAGCTGCCACTGTAAAAACAAGCTCAGACCCAATTTGCCCCC